CCTCACAGTTGTGGGCACGCTTACAGCCACATGCTAACATGTCGTTAGCATGGAAGTTTTTCACTGTGAGTGAAGATGACAAAGCTTGCAATTTGTAATATATTTAAAGCCAAAGTAAACCATGGGGGAACCACCACAAAAATTTGGTGAAACATCGGAGGTAAACTAACTGATTATTAAACATATACTAGATAAACTTGAAAAGGAATAATCATTAAAATTGCAAAGCTAGTTAAGGTTTTTTTTTTCTCCTATGACTGAGTAAAAATGTTTTAGCGAGACTAACCCCCTGCACTATAATGTCCGTACAGTATGAAGGTATGAAAAAGCCTGATCTTAATCTAGCTTACTAGTGATGTAAGAATTGTATGTGCATAACGTCATATTGGTATTAATATTACCCTGCACCTATTATTATTTGGAAGAGTATAATATACTTCAGTGTTATTTGGAGGTTTGTAACCTACGGACTTTTTAATTCTAAGACGAGTAAAAATTTAAAAATAAAAAAAAGAAAAAGGTCAATTTCATGTTATCTGGTGAAATAGTAAAATCTGTCAGATAAAGTTGGATGTACAGCGGCTCATTTTCAGTTAATTGTTATTTGCACCTCGTTCCAGTCACAGAGCACTTTATTTTGAGACTTGTTTAAGTGAGAGAAGATCCTGTAACTTAGCACAGTTTGGGGGAAATTGTAAAGTTTAACAATTTCTTTTATCATGAAAATAAAATTTTGCACTGAAGAAAACCTGATTTTTGTTTGAATATGCTGTCAATTATATTTCGTGGAAAGAAAATAGGAATCGGCAAAAATTAGTATTAGCCGGTTACACTTGAAAAAAAAAATTGGAAATCTGAATTGGCCAAGAAAATTGCAGTCGGTCCATCTCAGATGGCGATTCAGATATCTGGGTGTTGTCATTACTCCAAAATCTACACAATTATTCTCCACAAACTACAACAGACTGATTGAAGAAATTAACAAAGACCTAAACAGATGGGATGTGTTACCCTTTTTGGGAAGATAGTCTCCTTTTCTTATTAAGCCCATTCTAGTACACAATCCACATTTAAGTTGCTTGATAAATGTATATCAAAATTTATTTGGCAAAATAGGAGACCAAGAATCCAGTTGAAACTATTGAAGGACCTCTAGGCCCGCCTAATCTAAAATGGTATTACTGGGCTTCTCAGCTTCGAGCAATGGTGGCATGGATGGTCAAAGACAAGTAGATTATTTGGGTGCCTATTGAACAGAATTCTCTACCAGGGATATCATTATCTACTCTCCCATTTCTTAGTCAAGTGTCAGAAAAAAATGAAGAATGTGTGGATCAAACACACACTAAAGGCCTGGACTTCAGTTAAAAAACAAAGGGAACTGTAGCTCTGTCTTGGGTCACGCCCATACAGGGAAATAGAGTTTCTACCATCCACGCTTGATACATGGGCGGAAAATACTCAACTATTTGATTGAATATTGAATGTTTTTAAATAATTTTCAGAACTCCAAGACAATTTTCTTACCCTTATGTGACTTTTATACATATCTACAAATTAAACATTACAAAACATGTAGACTGGGACAATATGAAAATCAAACCAGCTAATATTCAGACCTGCTTCATACATATATTTGAACAACATTAACAAAAAAACAAATATCCCATATTTACAAAAAACTAAAGAGACATATCAGGTAATGCTTTTCATATTAAAGAACAGTGGGAACTGGAACTCAATACACTTGCAGATGACAACACATGGGAGGACATATGCCCTGGATGCCACAAGGGGGTGGGGAGCCAGATATGGAAGGAATTTGATTGGAAGGCTCATGTACAAGACACTATAGATGCCATCAAGGTATCTATAGTTCATTATAGATGAGAGCTTCATAAGCCAGTCATAATGCATAATAAACATGGGTTTAATGTGTTATGCCTTTTTCTAAATATTTGTAGCCATGTTTATAATGCTTTATGAATGCATTATAATACACTATGAATGTGTTTATAAATTACTAAAGACATGACCTTAAGTAAAGTGTTGCCAATTTTTTTAATGTCCTGATATTAATCCACATAACTGAAAGATGGTACACTCTGTTTATCATGACTGTATTACGTACTTTTTGAATGACAAAAATTAGGGACAAATGTACAAGATGAAGTTTTGGAAAATTATTTCAAATCACAAATAAAACCAAATTTCAAATCCTGAAAACATCAGTTTTTCCGTTATCATTCCCATTAGCTGCCGATTCATTCAGACAGCTGGTGCAGTGTTATGAAATCAGGCCTGTAGGGCACAAGATGCACAAAGTGCTCACTCTGCTTTAGACATCATCAGCTCTCTGCAAGAATCCAAGCGGCCATAAAGTGACTGCAATAAAGCTATTGCAAAGCTGTGGGCACTTATCACACTGAGTTATCCTTTAGCCTAGTTCATAATTCACTTTTCCATGTGTGCTTTCATGCGCTTTCAGCTGAGGACGGTCATCCGTGTGGCAGTTTGTACTCATACTACATTTGGCAATGGATGCTGATGATTGTGGGCAGTGCAAGCATTCAGCAGTGATATTCCACCAGACCAGTAGAGGGCAGATGTATTGCAACAAACACAAATACAAGCCGTGTAATGAAATGGGTAAACTTTTATGAATAGTTACTTATTAGTCAAAGCTTGGGTAGAATTACGATAAGGCAAAATTAGCCTGGGGTACTTCCCCTACTCTTTTGTCGTTGACTGCTGATCTGGGAAAATCCATGCTGCCACCTACTGGAAGTACCTAATCAATTATCTTGCACATGTGCGGTCAACACGCATGGAGGTGTAAGGTTTCCCCTGGACATAAAAATCTGGGCCACAGGGGCACCAACCGCAGTCATCGGCAGCCAACCCCCAATGACAAAATTTACATCATGTCCCCTTGTCCACAATCAAAAGCACATGCGGGAAAGTGAAAAATGAACTGGCCTTTAGAGAGAGTCACACACCATATGTAGGAGTTGGTGCCCTCTGGAGGAGCAAAACACTGTTGCAAGCTGCAGTCCTCTGAAGGGTCTACAGGGGGTGCCTATGTAGCACCCAATTAAATCACTAGCAGAAAGTGCATCACAGGTCTGAACAAGAGCAATTGCATTCCAATGATACAAAACTCGCATTAATGACAGCAGGACAGGTGTAACGTGAAACAGCTGAGAGTGAGGGAAATTAAAGAGAAAGAGCACTTATGTCTGAAAGGGTCAACCATGGACATGAAAAGCTCTTCACACCAGCTCTTTATAAAGTATTATTATTAGGGATGGGCTGATCCACAGTTCTGATCCGATTCCAATACACAACTGCCGGTACCGATACGGATTCTGATGAAGAGCTTTCTTTAATATTTTAATATAATAAATGCATTATATATTTTTTTGTTCCACCTTGTTTGTACACCTTGTTTTAAGCGTTTTGAGGCATTTGCAGTTCAATAAAAAGAACATGGCAGCATGGCTTGGTTGCATCTGAACTCAAACACACACAGGTTTGTAATTATAATTATATCTTTGTGGGGACTCTTCATTCATTTCTAAGAGGAAAACTAAGCAAAACATGACAACCTTAACCTCTACCCAGCTCTAACCTTAACCATAACTAACCAAAGCCATTCTGAAAATAAACAGCAAAAGCCAGCTTTATTTCCATGCTGGTCTATGCTGGTTAGTGCTGGTTCGGTGCTGGTGTAGCTAGCGGACTAGCACGGCTATGCTGGTCTATGCTATATTGTCTGGCATCCCCTGGATTCACAGCAAATATCACAAAAAAGAAACAATAAGATGTGATTTACAGATTCCCCATTTGGTTTTAAAACAGCAAAACAAAACATGAAACCTGCTGTTTTCTTTTCCCCTTTTTCCCGTTCTGATTTTAAAACTGAAAAACCAAAAACTGCCAGTTTTTTTTTTTCCAATTTTGTTTTCAAAAAAATGAACGATATACTACTGTTTTCACTACTGTATAAACTTCTACTTGTTAAAACCAAATAGAAAAAAAGTCATTAAAAAAATCACACATCTGTTAAAGTATAAAACCTGCGCTAAAAATAGCCAGAAATGTTTTGAGTTTGAAATACTACAAACAAATTAATACACTCTACACTCCCAAAATAATGTCAAAAAACTGTAACTTATTCTAAGACATCAGCACCATGGCTACTACTTTGGTCAACGAGGACATCCCCAATCTTCTTCATATTTGAGTTTCATTTTTGGGCATTTACAGCAGACAGGGGCCTCAAAAACATCCCACTAGCTGTGCGATAATTAGCTGGTTCACGAGTGAGTTCTCTCTCATATTACTGCCAGAGAACACAGCACAGCAGTTTAAGACCCGTTGCAGATATGCCTCCTGTCACCCTGGTGTTATGACCATGTGGGCAACAGATGCCATAAGCAGCCGGTCGAATGTGAAGCCAACTCAACCATTTGGCTCGTTTGAAAAGTGTGTTTCACCGGAGTGAGCAAATGCTCAGCGTGCTATGAGCTGTCCAACCAAACCGGTTCATAAATAACTTGATAGCACCAGGTGGGGCAGGCCATTGGAGATGCGATTAAGCTCAGGCTTCATCGTCGCACCTGCAGGTGCTCATCCCCCGACACATCACAGCTCTTTGTTCTCCCAAAGGAACAACTACCCTGAGGCGGTAACAGGCTTGACTTCCACCCAAACTGAAACCATTAAATACTGAGTTTATATGGGATCCCAGTGCTATTAATCGCACAGTAATCATTTCTTCAGATTTAACTCAGCACACGCCACATTCCTGAATGTTATCAGAAGATAAACAAAGGCAGTATAATGTGAGAAAGGAAAAAGCTAATCAAAAGTTGTGTTTCTGCGTCTGTTATGCTCTGGGTCATTAGCAATGAGGTGACAAAAATCAGAAGCGTAAGAGTATGGAAAGAGAAGACACAAGGGGAAATAAAAAAATACATATTTTAGAAAGTACATACGCAATGTCACGGGCGTGGAGCACTTTTGATCGACGACACCGGAAGCCATCGCACCACTGGCAACGACAGGCAAGACATCGGTCCCATCCACCGTGTCAGCAGCTCCATCTTCTCCTCCGTCCTCCACATCGGTGTCGCTCTCAAGACACAAGTGCACAGATGGAAGGCGAGGTCCTGGGCCTGGTCTCACAGATCCCAGTTCTTCCACGTCCGTGTCACTGTCTGAGGAGTACCCATGGGCAGCTCCCCTCAGAGGAGAGCTGTGTGAGGCTGGTTGATGAAGGAGAGAACCCAGCTCAGGCTTTGAGGTGAAGGCAAACAGCTGTGTGGCATTGCTCTCCACATCACTATCGCTGCTGGAATCAATCTTCAAGTCGACCTCTCTCCCACCAGCAGGCTGCTCAGTCCCACGTCTTCCCTGAGTCTTTCTCACTGAGGTTGCAAATGGATCATCATCTGTGGCTTCGTCATCCGTGTCACTGCTCAAGTGGAGCCCTGGGCATTTCACCAAGAGGGGCTCAGTCAGCCCAGTGCTGGGTTTTGGGTTTGGTGGGACCAGATCTTCACTTCCTTTTGAGTCTGTGTCACTGTCCAGATGGAATTTGGTTGGTACTATCACTGTAGTGGATGAAGGCTTCACATTAAGACTAATCGTGGAGGGGGACATAGGTGCATTATCTTCATTGTCCTCAATGTCAGTATCACTGTCTAGATGAAATTCCTCAGGCTGTACCATAGAAGTTCTGGAGGATTTACAGGTCCTGTCTGTGGCTTCTGTGCCACTGACAGGTCCAAGCACTTGTTCTGATCCTTGCTTGCATTCGACATCAGTGTCACTGTCCATGCTGAGACTTGGCTTGCTTGCACTGGAGCCATCCTGTATGGATGAATTGTTGGGATCATTGTTCCCCAAAGAATGAGGATCTGACCTCTGTGGAGGGTCTTTCTGCTCCTCTTCATTGTCAGCAGTGTGGCTTCCACCTCCACTGGAAACCTGGCTGCCAGGCTTACAAGGCTGTGGCCCAACTGTGGACGATCCAGCTTCACTCTTATCCATTCCTACATTTTCGCTTGGTCCAGCTCTTCCATTCGGAGTGGCATCGATGGCCATTCCCTCAGGCAGCCCTTCCTGTTCATTTGCCATGTCCCCCAGACCAGTGGTAGAATCCTTTTTACTCAATGTCTCTCGCTCCTCAAACTCTGAGTCGCTATCGTACACCAGTATCTGAGGCTTCCTCTTAGTTGTAGCCGAACCTTTCCCTCCTTGATTCATTCTTTGGTGGCTATTGTCTTTCACAGAAGAAGAGGGTGTGACAGAGTTCTCATCCTCACTGCAAAGAAGGTGAAAGAACAGCTTACAAACGTCTCTCACGCCTACTCATCATATACAGTGGTACCTTCGAACTCGAACTTAATCCGTTCAGAACTCCAGATCGAATCCTAAAAAGTTTGAGTTGTGATTGAATTATCCCCATAATAAATAATGGAAAACCAATTAGTTGGTTCCCGGCCCCAAAAAATTACACCAAAATATGTTTTTTTTTAAGAAATCTTTATTTTTAAATGTATTTTATTATATAATAATTACTGTTACTGTCTATCATTGTGTAAATGTATTTTTACTGTCTAAATATATGTATTCAGCTAGTGTAAACATGCACGATGCTATCACAGCAAATGCGAGGCTGAGACTGAAGCGTTACACTTTGTTTCCGCTGAGAGACGTGCCGCGTGACTCATTTCTATACGCATACAAGTTCTCTTAGGTCGCCGTTTACTGTTCGACTTCTGAGATTCAGATCGAGTTCTAGGTAAAAAATTTTCGAACTGGTTGGTTCGACTTTTAAGAAATTCGAGTTATAATGAATTCGAGAAATGAGGTACCACTGTAGAACAATATCAGAGCCTAACAACGGCCAACAATACCAGGGCTACAGCATGCAAACTACAATATACTGGCAACAATCAGACATCATTTAACTAAGGTGTAGTTCATTTAATGTTGTCCGAGTAGATAGCTGTAGCCATTACCTCTCTGGAACAATGCTGTTCATGGGAGACAAGAAAGTAGAGCAGGTGGGACCTGGCATTTGAAGAACAGACAAAGAGAAGAGAATTTGTCATATGCTGGAATAGGAAGGGGCCCAACAACTACAACAAACATCTGTACGTCAGACAAGTACTACGAATACAGAAATCAGTAAAAATACTGCAAATTCACATTCCTTACCTTTACTTGCTCTTGTGCTATCATCCGAGTCGGAATCCAGTTCAAGAACATGCAAGTTATCTGGACATGCCGGCGTTTGAGCCAGTGACAGGCTCATGCTCCTGACCACACTCGGGGTCACTGTCTCATTTCCCATCCGTCCACCCTTGACGTTTCCTTTTAAGTTTACGTTTTTTATGCCGTTGCTCCAGCCACCCTCTTTGCTCTCACTCTCCTTTCCCATCCGTGTCCTCAAACTCCGCCCCCTACCTTTCGCCGGGAGTTCCCCTCCTCCTACGACCCTTTCGGGCTCTGCCGACCCCTCCCTCAGCACCTCGCTTGTGTCAATATACTGGCAGGGCAGGTCGGCCAGCACCACACTGTCCCCATCGGTCAGGGCGTACCGGACATGGGGCGTCAGACGGAATCTACCCTTCCGCGTCCCATTCATGCTGCCCAGGTCCCAGACCAGCGCCTCCACAACAGGGCTGACATGAATCCTGTCGCCAGGAAACACGGAGAGAGAGATGACAGCATGCCGCTTGGACACGGATCGAGCGTCGAGGGGCAGAGAGCAGGAGGTGGGATCCCGGCCCATCACATTTTCTCCAATGTAGAGGGGTAACTCTGAGTGAGATAGAGAGCGAGAGAGAGAATTAAAATATCTTTCAAGGCTTCTCAGAATTGAGATCAATACCACTTGTTTCTATTTTAAAAACACTTTAAATCTAAGTTTCATTAGACTAGCTAAATAAACATAAAAACTAGTGATGGTCCGATCCGATTCCGACACATAACTGCCAATATGATACAGATTCTGATACGAAAGCTCTTTTAACTTTAATATTATAATATAGTTATAGTTAACATACATAATATACTTCCACCTCGTTTGTACGTCTTGTTTTTAGCATTTAAGAAGCATTCACATTTCAGTTTGAATATCTTCTAAGGGAGTATACACAAGTGTTGAATGCTTAAAATGCCCCTCAATTTGTCTTCCCCAGGCAACAGTGTCATTTATACTTCGCTGCGATACCAGCTCACCATGTATAACAAGCTGTAGCGTGTGGTGTGCAAAACAACCCAAGCTAGCGACTCCCAAATAAAAACATACATTAACAAAGGCTTTTCACACAATTAACAAGTCTATATATGCTGCTTGACTATGGTAGTAGGCAGTTGCCTTTTTTGAAACTACACATCAAGAACCGGTCTTGTAGATTCTTCACTCAGTGGCCAGTGTCTGGAGTAACGACATTAATCCTACTTAACAGTGCGCATTTAACAGTAGCAATATACACTCACCTAAAGGATTATTAGGAACACCATACTAATACGGTGTTTGACCCCCTTTTGCCTTCAGAACTGCCTTAATTGTACGTGGCATTGATTCAACAAGGTGCTGAAAGCATTCTTTAGAAATGTTGGCCCATATTGATAGGATAGCATCTTGCTTTTGATGGAG